GGTGGGTCTTAAGCTCAGTGATAGGACTAGGTTCATTCCCTATGATCACCATGTCATCCACATAGACAAAGACAACATTGAATGAGCTACTTTGGGAGGATGTGAACAATGAGTAATCAGCCAAAGATTGTTGAAACCCAATATTTTTTAGGGCAGTAGAAAATTTCTCAAACCAACACCATGATGTTTAAGGCCATATAAAGACTTGTGAAGCCTACAAACTTTATTCTTGTTATGTTTTGGAAATCTTGGCAGAATTGACATGTAGACCTCTTCGGACAAATTACCATGTAGAAATGCATTATTAACCTCAAGTTGATGAAGTTTCCACCCCTAAACTGCGGTAATAGAAAGAAGGCATCATAAGGTAACCCACTTGGCCATAGGAGCGTAAATGTCATGATAATCATACCCTTCGATGTAAGTATACCCCTTGGCTACAAGATTGCCTTAAAACATTCAATAGAATTGTCGACCTTGCATTTGAGTTTGTAGACCCATTCAGAACCAATGGTTCATTTTCCAAGAGGAAGATCAACTATGGACCAGGTTTTTTTTTTCTTTCAAGAGCTATAATTTCTTCATCCATTGCCTTAGACCAATTTGGATGAGAAGCCACTTGGGAATAAGGTGGGTTTAGAAATGGGAGGAGTAATATGAGATGCAGAATGACCAAGTTACAAACATAGTATTGAAGACGTATTGGAGGTCATCGAGTGCGTTGAAACTGCATGGTAGTAGGCCCAATGTTGGACTCAATGGGCAACTATGCTTAGGTACTAGGCTCATTCTCATTTAGAGATATAACCTTAATGGAATCAAAATTATTATTGGGTTCTGCCATACTCATAGACATGTTGGGCTTAGTCAAGTCATTGGACTCAGTGGGATCCATGGGCAATCCCATGAACATATCATCAACTGACTCAACAATGTGCAATAAAGGAATGACCACACGACTATTTGTATCTATGGAATGTTGGGAATCAACAGGCCCAATACTAACATAAGGGAACACAATGTGATGCATAGGATGCAAATTTATCACATGATAATAGTCGTGCTTGAACATAACACAAACATCCAAATGTTCATAAGTGGTTGTAAGTAGGGGGCTTACCAAATAAGAGCTCATATGGCGTCTTTCCTTGTAAAGGTGCTACCGATAAGTAATTAATCAAATAAGCAGCGATGAGAGTGCATTCTCCCCAAAAGGATAATAGGAAAGATGCATAAAACCGTAGTACCTGAGTCATTTCCATGAGATGCAAGTGTTTCCTTTCGACGATCCCGTTTTAGTGTGGTGTATCAATACAAGACCATTGATGGATTATGCTATGCTCTTCAAAAATTTGTTGAATTGGATCAGATAGAAATTCACAGCCATTATTAGGCCGAACTATCTTGACCATACATTGGAACTAAGTGCAAACCATATTACAAAATGACGTAAGAAAATGGTATGTTTTAGACTTATATTTCATGAGGTACAACCATTCACATCTATTATAATCATCCACTGTTGTCAAAACAAAATGGGCACCGGATAAAGACAGAGTATGATATGCCCCCCAATTGTCACAGTGGATCAAAAACAAATAGTGCTTCTACTCTAGACGAGCTTATTAGAAATGGGATTCATGTGTTTAGCACGCTCGCAAATGTCGCAAGCAGTATCAATAGAGGATGAAAGATAACCATTTGACAACAAAGAAATTTGATGAGTTGAAGCAATCGAGTCAGTTGGCATATGGAGTAGTCATCTATTGTATTAAGAGAAAACACTTGTTTGGAGGAATCAGAACCAAGCTGCATGTAGTAGAGCCTGTTAAGTAGTCTCCCCTTGCCAATCGATATCTTCAAGATTTGTCCCTATAAAAGACAAGTGAGAAGGAACACAATAGTGCAATTCAATTCAACTGAAGGGTGAGTTTATTGATAGATAGAAAATTATGACGAAAGCCAAGGACATAAAGAATGTTTATAACTAGAATGTTTGGGGCTAATACAGCCACACCCTTATGGGTGGCCATCATGGTAGAACCATTCGGTAAGTAACAAGAGACAAAACTAATAAGGGCTCACAATTAACTAGTAAAGATTGATTAGAGGTCATGTGATCAAATGCTCCGTTGTCTAGAATCCATAAGGAAGATGCAACTAATGAGAGAAAGGCCTTACTTGGAGGTGCAAGCATGCTATGTATTAGTACTAAGGAGGCGCAAAAACTAGGTATATTGGTCAGAGATTAGGCCAACAATTGGAGAGGTTTGTCCTTGGCTAATAGCAAAATCTTCTTGAACACAAGTAGAGAAAGCATAGGCCCGGTTTAGGCTGGGAGGGGAATCAATTGCTAAAATGTTGGATCAAACATTGTTAAAAACATCATTTAAGCTCATCAAGAACTGATGGAGACTATCCTTCTCCCTTGCTATATCAACATAGGCCACACTCTCATTGGATAGCTAGGAAATAACCATGAAATTACACTTTATCAATGATTTCTCCTCATATGTAGATGGCTTGTCAAAATTCTTTTAATTTGGTGAAGTATGAAGCAGTCGAGAAATCACCTTGATGCAAGAGGGATAAATCTCTTTTCAACTAGTAGACTCATGGAACATTGCCTTAAGAGAATCATTCCTTGAGGTCTTTCTATATCTCTTGTTGTAACAACATAGGCCACACTCTCATAGAGATCACGATGTAAAGAATTGAATAGCCAAGAAATAACCATGGAATTGCACTTTATCCATGATTTCTCCTTATATCTTGTCAAGTGTGCCATCTATAAAGCTGAATTTGTTTTTGGTGTGCAAGGCATTCCTCATTGCATGCTGCCATGTGAAATAATTTTCTCCAATGTGAGGAGATGACACCAATATAGCCCCTTGATTGTCAGAGGGATGAAGATAATAAGGTGGAGAGGAATCAAGACTTATAGCAATCGCAAAATCTGTCTTCAACAATAGGATTTGTCAAGAAATCAAACCCTATAAATTATGTCTAACAATCAACTCTATTATAGAAACAAATTCTATGAACTCTATCCAAGAATTGTCTTTGTTGTAGCAAGAATACAATCTTTGTATCAAGAAGACAACACTCTGGCAATGACAGTGACTATCTCAATGTGAAGCAGCGATCAACAAATTTTCGCAACGACCAAAAGCGTAGACTCAAACGTCATGGCTCTAGTACCATGACAAAAGAACAGGTGAATTTTTTCTTTTCACACATACACACACATATCTATCTTTGAGCAGACAACTAATGAGTTCCACTTATTGAATAGGGTTCTATGGTCAATTTGTGACCATGGATTTTTCTTCCTTTTGCTACATTTCACTCAAAGGGTTGAAGGGATATAGTGCATCAAGCTGTTCGCAAGGGCCAACTTGATCCTCTTCCTCAGGGATCCCAAATGAGGGAACCCTAAGAGAATCGTCGACTCCAACTACTGTCCATGTACGATCCATACTAGATCTGACCAACTGCCCATCCAACCTCTTATATCTATCTATCTATCTATCTATCTATATATATATAACCGCCTTAGCAACTTGGCACATTTGGCTTGTATCTTGGTCCATGTGTTCTACAATTGTAACAATGTTAACAAACTCAAGTACCTCCCTTCCTCCTACATTGGTGAATACAAAGGGATGCTGAATATAGAAAAACTAGTTATCATAGTTTGGGTGGGAAGAGAAAATGTACTAAACAGGTTTGGTTGCTAATTTAGATGAGATTAATTGTCAGTGAAAACTGGTCGCCGGAGTATTGTCATAGTTTGAAGCTAGGGCTCAGAGGATGGAACTGTGTTCCAATGAGAACAAAGAGTAGAAATGAAAGAAATGTAAATAGTGAATTACATTGACACAAGGTTCAAAGTATTGAAAACACAAGGTGTATTGGAAGGGTAATTTTAAATACGTATCGAAATATACTTTGGAAATGCATAGATATGGACAAAAAATCAAGATATGCATAGATACACTAGAAAACCCAAAAAAATCCTTGAAAAGATATGAACAATAAAAATGAGTTTTATGTGATTATAACTAATTTATTTAAACATAAAATCCATTCTTTAATGATTTATATAAAGTATCGGGATATAATTACTAACCGTTGAAAAATAATAAAAGAACTAAAATGTATGTGTGTGTATATATACTAATTATAATATTTATTATGTATAGATTTAGATAATATTTATTATGTATACAAGTTAATATATACCTTAATTTTTAATAAATAATATATAATTTGTATTCATCTTATTATTATATAAATATTAATAATCAAATTTTCGCATTTGTTGGAAAACATCCACCAAGGCAAGAAATATTACTTTTAAGTATAAGAAAACATGTTTAAATAAGCAATTAAGGTTGGCATAATGGTTAATTAATTATTGTTGTAAGCAAATGGCCGATATATACCCAAAACAGTCCGGGCCTATACGGATCCGTATCAGTCTGATATAGACGAAAAAATGTGAAACCATCCAATTATACATATTTCGTGTATCAAAACTCTTTCGAAACAATACATATCGGCCGATAAGTTGCAAAATTTAAAACCTTGCATGGACATGTAACACAGCGCTTCCATAGTGTTGGTATGGTTTTGGTAGTCATCATGTTGGTGGCAGATAATGACCCTAAGAAACTGCAAGCATCTCTCTAACTTGATTTTAAGCCTAATATATCTGCAACATTGAATTCATCCCATGGTGAATGACACTTCTAATTTCCTCAGAAACACCTTACAAATCATAATGTTCCTTTCTTTGCCATGGTTCAAAGTATTAACACTCTTGCTCGATTGCCGAATCAATAATTTAGGTAGATCGAAATACCCAACATTTCTTTTGAATCCTGACAGGCCATTTATATGGTAAACGTTTAAAACACTTCAACTGTTCCAACTCCTATTCTAGGCACTAGCCGTATCGGGATGTCTATTATTAGCATCAAATCCAGACCAAAGCAAAGCAAAAAAGGCACAAATTGATTATAGACTTTAGAAGACAAGATAAAAGACCTTTCTAACTTTTTTTTTCTTGGTAAAGCAAAACTCTCTCAAAGAGTGTAATTTCCGACAGATATTCTAATTGTAGATCAGCGAACAGGAGAAGAAAAGAAGATAACAACAAAATAAACAAAGAATCCAGCAACTAGGATTCCGCCATAGATGAAGGTTTGATAAGACTGCACAGGAAACTTATATCCAATTACACAGCACCTCATTCTCTCTCTCTCAGATGCCAAAACACGATCCACGTACCTGTCCAAAATATGCAGACAACTATCACAGAACAGAAACAGCAGGGAAATATAAATGGATCCAAGTGGGAGGACATGGTTGTAACTCGATCTTCAGAGCTGGTAAAAAAGGTATTTTCATAAAGGAAAAGATACAACCAAAGCATGTTTTTGTGAATGCTATGGATTTTCATAAACGAGCTATTATTTTCATGTAAAAACTTGTATCGGAGAATCAACCTGTCATTAACACAATATACTTTGGCAGTTTAGGGTGGGTCCTTGAGGTATCCTGGTGGTAATACTTGGCAGGAGTATTTATTTGGAGAGGGCAGAGTTGTGATTTGTTACTTTGCAAGCATATTATTAATGTCTTATTTCAGTAAGGATGTCATATACTTCTTCGTATTGAACAATCAATACAAATCCTTTCTACTAATATCAGAGCATGGAAGAACCAAACAATTGGGATTTGCTCCTTACAGAGCGCACCTCACACTGACCTCACAGGCACATCCCACCATGTATGGGGAACATCTCCCATAGATAAGAACACATAAATACGGGAGATGTTCCCGATGTGCAGTTGGGACATGTTGTAAGGTTGGTGTGAGATCTGCAGATCCAACCTAGCAGGTTATCTGCTCATATTGTTTTCAAGGACCTAATAAAACGAGCTTTATGAATGGGTGTAAAGTCTAATGAACCAAACACTGAAGATGGTACATCGGGATTTAAAAAATAGAAAATGAATTTCTACAACTAATTACATCAAAGCAATATCAAATAGAAATTCAGCTTTAGGTGGTAACAATAATTCAATCTTATCATTATCCATCTCTACTAAATTCCTCATTTTCTGTGTCCTCCCTGCTCAAAATCTAATTCCAACAAAAATGTCCCTTTCTGCCTCCTCCCCCCCCCCCCCCCAAATATAAAATAAAATAATAAAAAATGAAAAGGTAAAAAAAATTCCCTTTACTTGTTTCTCCAAAATGTCCATACTCTCAAGTGGCATAATTTATCCTGGAAAAGGTATCCCCCTCCCCCAAATAAAAAATAAAATAAGAAAATAAGAAAAGGTAAAAAAAATTCCTCAAGTGGCATAATTTTTCGTGGAAAAGGAATTTCCCTCCCTCCCCCTCCCCAATCACAGATTCATGTTCTTAATATATGAACTGATTCTTTACTTGGTGTAATTGTAAAATTTCAGGCTATCAAGAGTGAGAATGGAGGTCCGAGTCTGAGGGGAGTCACTTTGTGCATAAAAAAGGCCAAACGTTAGGACTGCACTTATGCCACCCCTCCCTCCCAAGACAACAGATAGATGGGATCAACATTTGGTGAGTAATGACCGATTTTATTCTTTTCATGCTCTAGAAAGTAAAATGGAACACATTTTCTCTGCAATGAATTATTTCTGATATGTTAACTGGAAAGATTACTCACTGCTGGGTAAATATAGAGCTCTGTAGTATTTCTGAGCTGTTTGTGTGTGCATCCGCTAACCGATGATCATATAACAGTGAAGAAAGATCCACAAGCCGCTCCTCAAGGCTCTGTTATCCAATTTTATCCAAGGGAACATCTTGTTATCTAAAAGAGTATTTAAATCTTCAAATGCTTAAACAATCTGTCAGATACACATTAGGAGTGACTTACATCCAAGTATTTCTCCAATTGTTCAACTAACTCATGTGGGAAAGGTTCAGGTAAAGTGGTGGTTTTCTTGTAAAACTTTTCTAGGTAAAGCTCAGCGGTTGACTTGTTCCTTTTGCCTTTTACTGGCTCTCCAAGTGGTGTTCTTAGATAGTCAGAAGCAAAAGTTTGTACAGCCTGTACTAATGAAAAGAGAACTTAGAAGTTTCAAGCTTTATGATGCATATAATGAAAGAATGCAAGATCACCCTTACCTCTGAAGTATCCCGAATTTTGTGAAGTGCAGAATCTACACATGCATATATAGTGCTCCTCTGCCAACAAACAGGAAGAGAGGAATAAAAAATCCTTTACTCAGTAACCAAATTTAATGTTAACAGATCTCCACCCACAAGCACCAGAAGCAAAGAGAGGCACATATGTATCAGAAGTGGTTAAACAAGAAGAAATGACAACCATGAGAAGAAAATTAGGTCTGTATACCATCTCCATGAAGTTGAAACCTAAGGTACCTACCATATGGAAGAGCCCAAAAAAATGTTCTACCAACACCAAGTGGCACAGGGAACACCAGACAGAAGTTGAAAGAGGGCATTTTTGTTTTTATATTATTTTCTTTTTTTTTTTTTAAGGCCATTACCGAATATTAGTTGCAGCTATCTGGGGTCTTGAGAAGGGTGGACTGGATACAGACCTAACCTTTGGCGCTTTATCTAAAGTAGCTGCTTGCAGACTTGAACCAACATCATCATCCTTGTCAGCATGAGATTTTACCATTACATCAAGCACTGGCCCCTCTACTTTGGAGATTTCTTAGGCCAAAATAGACTTGTTACAACACTGAAAACTGCAGTTTTAACCCTGAATCATTCACACTATTCTCTATAGTGAGTTAAAAACTGGTAAAATGTAATTTTCAGTTACCTCCTACACAATACCAATCAGGCCCCACCCCTTACATGTGCAGCAGCCACTATTCATGTAACTGGGCTGCTAGTAGACCATCTTTATAGTGTAAGAGGGAGTTACTAAGAATTCTACTCACATGGAAGAGAAAGCCCAATAGCATCCATTTTTATAGATGTCAATTTTAAATAACCTGCTTTACGAATAATTGTAATTTTGATGGAGCACTATTACTACTTGGAACAGTTTCAAATATTATATAAAATGAGACAAAAGTAATATTGGCCTCACCAAGGCAACATCCTGAAGAATTTGACTGATTTGAGAAGTGTTGGAGAATGGTCCAAATGGATGACAACCCGTTGCCCAAAGCCAATTCAGAACTGGCCTGTCATGCACATATGAAGCCTTCTCATATGGTGCACTAAGTCCACCCACAGCAGAAGCCAGGCCTGCTAATATGTGGCGCTGTGCTTGTGATGGAAAAGCATATCTTCTCTCTGTTTCTGAAACATAACTGAGCAAGAAAAAGAAAATAAGCAAGATAATATGTAACAACAACAAGGATCCTAGACTTCTATGTTTTCTAACAGTAGTAAAGGATGGCAAACATTGACATTTTCTTTAGTTAAATGTAAATTTGCTAACAAGGAAAAAAAAAAAAGATTAAACAAAAGCAACCATGATATGGTAGTCCTAGATCTGAAAGTATGGATGGACACAAACTACACTATCCATGATATCTAAAATATACTTAACAATGTTTTCCATTATCCACCATCCTGAAACAATATCTTCCATGCAAGCAAGGGAACGATGGAAAATTGTTCAGTATGAAGGTGTCCGATTCAGCAAGTCCCAAAAACTAGAATTTGAGGACTCAGCTGCTATATCTTAGTTTTAAATTACAGTTTTTAATAACACATCATTTATGTAATGTAAACATAAATGACGGAACAGTAGTTGAAAAGGAAAAACAATCTAGATGCATTAATCAATGTGAAGAACACTAAGAAAACAAAGATTTTGATTAGTAGAAATCTGCTGAAACAAAAACTGTAAAAGAAAGAGGAAGAAAAGAAGTGTTTTTGTGAGAGAAGAGAAGAGAGAGTGAAGAAAGGAAGAGAAGGCAAAACTAATCAGGCTGCCCTCTCCCATTAGTATTTATACATAAAACAAAAAAACTATGTACAATGACTGATATGCCCTTATAGGGAGGCTGATACAAAAAAACTCAATAAAAAACATAAAAACACTACTATAAAATCTCCCAAATAATATGTTGTGGTCCCTACTTCCTAATTAAACAAATAACAAACAAAATCAAGTAACAAAACTGTAAAAGTCCTCAGCGCTCCCCCTCGAGTTGGGAGTAACCGTCACACATTCCCAACTCGCGTAGATCATGTTCAAGCTTACTCCTTTCAAAAGAGACATAAGGGAGGCAAACTTCTTCAGCTGTCACCATCTCTTATGAAGCGTCTATCAACCTCAATATGTTTTGTCTTTGTAAAGAGACTGGGCCGAATGGGTCCTAGTATCTTCTCTTGTAATGTCTTTTCTTTTTCTTGTTAGCTAATGGGCCTGTTATTTTTTTTTGGTTTGATCTCTTTATGTTACTGCCTAGCTGGCCGCCCACTTAAGGGCATACTCAGGATTAAGGCCAGCAAGGAATTCAAACACCCTATACTTCTCTAGGAGCTTTTGGTAGGCAGTTGCATCCTTAGTGGTTTCCCAAACAACTGTCTCCAAATGGTCAATCTCCTGCCACATGGTTTTTAAGGGCTGAAATGTAAACAGCAATAGGTCTATCTCCCCGCCTTGTAGCAATAATCTGATTTCTCAACTGATAAGTCCTAGCAACATTCTCCCTCTGTGAATAGGTTTCTGCAACCCCATCCCATATTTCCTTAGCTGTATTTTCCCACAAAATGTTTTTACTTATATGGGGCAGCATGGAATTATACAGCTAAGTCATCACCATATAGTTCTCCTGTACCCACCAGGAGCTGTTAGTTTCGGGTTTCATTTCTTCACCAGTGGTATACCCTAACTTCCCATGAGCACCAATGGCCATCTTTGCAGATTGTGACCATTCTAAGTAATTTGAACCATCCAACTTAACTGTAGTAATGGTCTCAACCCCGAAAAGGTCTCCAACACCTCTTCCCACTGGTCCCATTTCACTCCCGAGCTTGTTTTCAACTTCGTTACCCTCCATACTTCTCAAAAAGGGGATAGAAGATTACTATAATATGCAAGAATATCAAATAAATCACTTTTGGTACCAACGACACCCTTCTGGTGCCCTAGATGGTCCTCTTACAAAAGATTCCTTTTCTGCGGGACTGGAGAAGAGAGAGAATAGGTAGCCGCTCTCTCCAGAAACCTCCAAATCAAGCAAGACTTGAATTGCCCCCTACAGAAAACTCCAAGGAACCCTAAAAAATTAGGGTGCCACTTCTTAGGTCAAAATTGAAGAGTCCAACAGAAACAAGACTCTCCCCCTTTCTCCAGTTTTTCCTGATCTTGATGGGAAACCCTAGACCAAATATAGGGCAAAACAAATCCACCAAAAAATCCAAAAACCGGGCTTACCTGAGATCTTTTATCAGCCTCTTAAATCACCATGCAGTCGGCTAATCTAGGGCTGCATGAGAAAACAGCTCAGGGAACCTTTAGCCCGCTCTGATACCAAGTAGAAATCACTATTTCCAAATCTAGATGAATTCCTTGTGAAGAGAAAGAAGAAGATGAAGAGTTTCAACAGTAGAGAAGAAAAGAGAAGAAAGAATAGGATGTCAACTAGAATTAAATTAGTTCTGGTCGCCAACCCGTCATTATATTTTATACTTAACTTAAAAGAATAGAGATTACAAGAATGCCCTTGGTAGGGCGGCTACTAAAGTAGCTGAACAGTCACAACTTAAAAACATAAGCTAATGGGCCTAAAGCCCAACAACTTCCTAACTTAACAACTTAAAAATAAGAGCTAAATAACTAGGCCCAATAACTAGAAATCGGCCCAACTCAACATGAAGCATACACACCATAAGACTTCTGCTACCCTACTCTCCAAAAAATATGTAACTAAATCCTTCTTGAAGTACTCTCTAGCATTGTCTGATCTAAAAATCTTAGTCCTCACTCCAAACAGTGTGACAATCATCTGTTAGAACTATTGCACCAGAATAGGTACCTCATCACGTGATCTCATCAAATATATCTAAAAATACCAAGTGTAATCATCCACGAATAAAAGAAAATAGCAGTAACCACCCATGAAGGAAATATTATAAGGTCCCTGTACATCAGTGTGAACAATATCAAAAGCAGAACTTCTTTTATTACTTGATTTAAAAGAATGCCTACAATACTTTCCCAATTGACAACTTTCACACTCCAAAATGGACAACTAAACAGACTTAAACAACTTTGGAAATAAACATCGCAATGAATTAAAAGAAAGATGGCCCAAATGATTATGCCACAACATAATTTGGCCTCCCTCTCCCATTAGTATTTATACTTAAAATAAAAACTATCTACAATGGCTGATATGACCTTATAGGGAGGCTGATACAAAAATCTCAATAGAAAACATAAACACACTACTCTAAAAGCCCCCAATAATATGCTTGGTCCCACTTCCAACTAAACAAATAATAAACAAAATCAAGTAACAAAACTATAAATTTAGCATTCATATCTAAAATTTACCCTAAGCATTTGAAGTTCTTTAGTTAGATATTATTTCCACCAAAACAAAGTCAGATATTATGATGTGACAAAATTCCCTCAAGTGCCATGTCAGTGTCCACATGTGCACACAACAGATATGGTGCCCAACTGCCCATTTTGAAGTATCCATGTATATAGCTGAACAAATGTGTGTACTCGAATGAATTATACACAATGACATCCCGTTTGTCATTATGCTTTGTTAAGTACACCGGATGAATAATGAGATTGCTTTTAAGGTTCTAAAAATCCATGCATATAAAATATATAACTAAACCACTTTTTGTTCTAAACTAATTGTATAAACAAGTTGGACTCCTGAAAAGACAACTTATGAACCAGGGGGAAATTCCAGAGCAAAGTATAGATGAGTTAAACAAATTCCTATGCAGAGAAGAGGGCCAACAGAATGAAGATCTTTAATACATCGGTAACTTACCTCAGAGGTATCTTTTCACTTTGGTGCTCAAGAACAACAACAGCATCCTTACTTGTCCATACAAGGCTATCATCTTCCATCATAAGGCCCGCATCAACATCAGCCAATGATAGCACAAAGCTGGAAAGGATGTAAAATGAAAAAGGATATATAGATACAGATCTAATGATTTATTCTCCACAACAGAGTACAATATATTTATATTTATGTTGTTATGAATAACAAAGGTACTGATACTTATAGGAACATAAAACTACTATCTGAAAGGCAAAACATATTGTTAAACAATGAAAATTAGCTAAAAGAACTGAAAATATTTTCATCAAAACCCATGATCCATCTTCTGCATCCTCATTTGTCGATAGCATCTTCAGAACTCCATGTTCCTACTTCTGATCTGATTCAAATATCTAATTTTAGATGAATTAGAATTCCAAAAAGTTGGAGGAATTATTTCAAAGATTATCAAGTGAAGAATATGATAAGAGTTCAATGGTATTTTCAACAGTGGGTCTACTATGAAAGAGATTTTAGGTATTTTCAATGGCACCAAATTTTTTATATTAAAGGTGTTTTAAGAAAAATGATGGGAAGGGCTTTAGGACCTGATCGTATATAGAATCTTGGATATCTATAGGAGAAGTGGCCTATACAAGGTTTGCTAATGGTGCATTTGGTTTCTGTGACTGGGATGGGAAAATGGAAATATTCCCATAAGATTCCCACTTTCACGCATTTGCTTGTTGCGATGGGATGCGAAAATGTGGTATGCAGTTTCTCAAAAGTTAGGATGCGGGGTCACGCTGATATGGTGCAACCCCGGTGAGAAAGAGAACATTGAGAAAAAAATATCAGGCTGTCTTGACTGTGACTGGAGTCGTCCTCTCACTGCCTCAACATCTTGACAACGGTCGAGTCTCCAACGACGTCTCAGGCAATATCCGGCCAAGGTAAGGCCAGATCTATAACCCCTAAACCCTGGCAATTATTTTCTTCCCCCTTTTGGCTTTGTCACTCTCTTTCCAGTCGGTTGTAATACACGGTTGTTTGCCGACTAAATGTCATTATTTCCAGCAGTATGAAGCTATGATTTTTACAAATCTGCATGTGTACATTGTAGATCTAACATGCTTATCAACTTTTTTGGTCTGTAGGGTTCAAATATTTCCATTCAACTGTGGGAAGGTAAGAGCTCCCTCTCTTTTCCAGATTTATCGTTATGGATATTTGATCTACTTATTCCCCTGCCTCTCCGGTCTGTATTGTTATGGGTCTTTGCTCATGCTTGTTTGAATAAACGTCTTCCAGATCTGGCTGTGAATTGGGATGTATCATTATGGGTCTTTCCTGTTAAATTTTCTTAGAAAGCAAACACAGGAAAATGAATTTTGATCATACTGTTTCTCGGGAAACAAACACTGGATGCAAAAATGGGAAAAAATATATTCCTTTCTCATCCCATCCTTTCTCGGCAACCAAACGGACCATAAGGTTTCCCTGTCTTTCCCTTCCTTTCCCTACCTTTTCTTTCAAACCAAACACAGCCTAATGGAATGCTTCATCCTAGAAGGTAAATTAGGACTTTATCCCCCATATGCGTTTCTCTGTAAATATATAGCTTCTTTGAAAATATAATGATAGGGAAACCTATAACCTGTCTCATGTGGTCATGTTACAATGATTTAGAACCACTTTTTTTTCTCTCTCCAATGCTGCTCCCCTTTTGAACATCCCAAAATTATTTTCACCTGTTTTTAGTTCTCACCTAGGACAAAAAGGGTGAAACTGATGCAGAAGTGTCCAACTGAAACAATAGTGTGGACCATATGAGAGGAAAGAAATGATAACAACTTCATTAACCAGAACAGACTGCCTGAAGTGCAAATATAGGTAACTACTGCCAGAGTTGCTCACTGTTTGCAAACAACAGATGAATTTCGAGATTTCATTATCGACAACATGATTAGATATTGGTCCTTTGTTACAGAAATTCCACATTGAGATAGACTAGAAACTGAAATCTGGTTCCTCCACTACAAAGAGTAATAAAGTTCAGGGAATTCCTTTAAAGAAGAGATCAATACCTTGTTATAAGGCTTACATATTTTGACAATCATGGACTCTTAAAATGTGCAGACAAGTGTTACAATCGAATCCATCGACCGCACCACCAGTATGCTAACCAAGTGTCTTCTTGTGTGTCTTGGGTGGGACAATTTATGCATTTTGTACGTAGGGGATTGCCAATGGTATTATTTTAATTACCAGTATGGTTGTTCAACATTTTATTGTATCCTTCCATCAGATCCCCAAAATCTTAGCATCCTCTTTAAGGGGAGGTAAGTAGTTAAATGGAAACTAAGGTGTAAAGGTTAAGCATAAGGGCCCCCTGAACAAATTATGTGCTTGTACTTATCTTGTTATGCAATATAAAGTGCATGTTTACTAATTTGTGTGCCTTTTTTGTTGTCTTTAACGTGTTGTCTTCTTTTGTAGGCTTACTTGACCCTTTCAAGTGTCACGCAAGGCCTCAATGACTAGTCTCGTGGCAATTGGTATCAGAGCTAGTTGTTCAACAACACGTTATGTCCCTCAAGTTGCAACAACAATTGCAGCACAATAAAGATGCTACATGGGCTTTTCCAAGCCCACAAGACCGATGAGGAACCAGATGATGAAACCCTCAAAGACAAAGCCTAGAAGACATCCACAATCTAGCAAGGGTGACAAGTAGGCTGACAAGCTTGCTGCCTTTGAGAGTGCATCCTCCGTTATGAGGTGATAATTGGGGAGACTCATAATTGAGCACCTAAATGTTGAAGCCATCGAGAGTTCAATAGCGGAATTGGAAGTCTACTTGAATGAAATCCTAAACGAGGTTCAACATGTCTTGAATGGCACCCTTAAGGAAGTTCTTGGCACTTTTCTTCAGCAAGGGAGTTCCTCCCGATCTACCATTCAAGACCAAGTCGACGAGATGAAAGCTAGATGGGCAAAACGGAAAAGAGCCATGCCCACACCCACTACTATTCAAGTGCAACAAGAGGAAATCAGAAGAGAATGGTTGGCCTTTTTTCCTCATTTACAGTTGATTTCCTAAGCTATTCTAGGAATTATGAAGGGCAATGGAGTTGAATACAAGAACATAGGTGAAATGAGATTAGGTGGAGTAGGTGCTAGTGACCCTTTTGGGGTAGGAACTATAACTACAGTTAAGTATGATGGTACAAACTACTTGGAATGGTCCCAATCAGCAAAAATGGCTATTGGTGCTCGAGGAAAATTGGGGTACTAGTGAAGAGAAGAAGCCTGAGACTAACTCTTTTTAGTGGGTATAAGAGAATTACATGGTGACGTCTTGGCTATGCAATTCTCTATTATCCCATATAAGCAAGAACATTTCATGGGCTAACATAGCTAAGGAGATCTGGGGTGGAGTTGCAGAGACTTACTGACAAAGTGAGAATGTTGCTAGGGCCTACCAATTGAAGAATCAGGTGATTGCTACTAGGCAGGGAGATAAATCTGTTGTAGTTTATTTTTTTGCCCTCAAAACCTTATGGTAGGAGATAGATCATTTGGAAACTGTAGTTTGGGAGAGTAGTAAAGATGTAGCTACTTACGAGAAGCTGGTACAGAAGAATAGTGTTCAAGTTTCTAGCAGGACACAACATAGAGTATGATATTGCACAACAATATATTCTTTACTATGATAGTGTCACTCCCGCTTAGGCATATGCCTTTGTGTAGAGAAGAAAGTAGGAGGAATGTGATGATGAAGAACTTAAAACCTTGAGCAATCTACTATTTTTAGCATATTAAAACCTAAGCCTGTTGGGGATAAGGGTAGCAATGATGGTAGGAAGGCGGACAAGAAGGACATGATCTGTGACTACTGTAAGAAGCCTAAGCATACCAAACATACCTGTTGAAAGCTTCATCCACGTCTTATACCAAATCAGCATAGAAACAAGAAAGGGAATGCTAATATGGGACTGACCAGTGACTTGTCTAGACCACCTACCACAACTTCTTTGGAGTCAATTGTAGCAGCTACAGTTAAGGCCGAATTGGAGAGATATGGGCAGTTTCTGAGTCAGAGAGATATGGCCAGTTCCAACTCATCACCGGATGGGCAACAAGGTGCAAGTGGCCTAGGAGCTAATCATTCTACTTCATTCATGGAACGAACCCCATATAGTTTGGTTGAGGTTTAGATGAGTTTAAGTGTGTTTGAGTATTTTTTGTATTGTCTCTCTCCTCTGTGTGTGTGCATGCATGTGCACATGCATATGCATACCTATACTGAAAAAGTAAACCGATAAAGTATGAGACAAAATATGGTCATTTCCCAATGTTGGTCCTAGCTATATGGGGTCTTGGGAAGTGTAGACTAGGATGGTCCTAACTTTTGGCCTTTTTTCTTTTTGAACAAGTGAATTGATCATGTATAACGACCATTTTCTATACAACAGAAAACTACACACACACACAGATATATTTACATGTTAGTGCATATTTTTATGTTGATGTACATATCAATAGAAAGAAATTTCATAAAAGAATGCATAGAAAGAAAGATGTCCCATAAAACATAAGAACAGAATATATACATAACTATATATAATTATAGATATGTTGTAGACAGGAGGGTGTTTTAGGTAGTAAGACTAGGAGATTTAATTTGGTAGTGATATCAAGAGAGTATGTTGTGCTCACACAGGAACTACTCTGGTTCCATAAGTCCTGTATAGGTTTCCTTCTTTCTTTACATTCCACTTCTTATCCTTGCCACGTTTCGGGCTGTAAGTTGCCCAAAGAGGTCGGTGCTTTAATATAGGATCACTAGAACCATCAGATTCATCCATCCATTGCTGGGAAGATGAAGCAATTGTTAGCAGAGTACATATCCACAAACAAATGTGCATAAACACACATACACACACAAAATCAATACAAACCTGACGAAGGAAAAATTTACTTGAGAGAGAAGGATCAGCAACCTCAAGTAAACCAGCAGCAAGGACATCAGCAGAACGTTCCATCTCCTACAGTAAGCATTTTCCAAGATTGAAACAGCCATCTAGTAAAGGTCACTACATGAATCAAGCTTTAGTAATATTAAAGCTTTGGTAACTATAAAGCAAATGGAAAACCTATGTATGGACTGATACACTACCCAGATACGGGTATGGACATGGACATGGATACCAGAAACAGGGATATCACTCTCCATTTCCTAAAATTCTGGACACAGATACAAGCACAGGTAACCCATGTAATATGCTTATATCATTCTTTTGTATCTAGTTTTTGAAGCTGAATGTCATTTTCTCAAGATTTATATTTTGCTAACTATAATGCCACAGAGTACATCTAAAAGTATGCATGCAATATCCAGTATCATATTTTTCTTTTTTGATAATTAATATCCAGTATCATATCCATGCCAGTACACTAGGCAGTACAGGTATCCAGGTACATAGGATGGCATATTAAATCTAATATCTAACCACTTGGAATCCAATATTTGATTAACTTATACACTATTTGCGGTTTGTAAATCCTCAAGCTTTGTTGACTTAAATCAAAAGGCATTGCCTAGGTTAACAGCAGCAAGTTAATTGTTCATGCATTAAAACTGAGATATAGTTTAACCATAGTTGTCAAGACATTGCCTAGGCAACAAGGCAACCAACCATCATGACTTAAATCAGAAGGCAAATTTCTAGGTAATTAGCCTAGATAGCCTTGCACTAAGAAAAGGGGTAAATAAAATTTAATTCAAAATAAAAATATATAGAGTGGTATGGATCCCACACTAGCTCTAAAACAGTGTTGTTTCCAAATTCAATTTGGAAATCTCTCTCATATCCACACAAATGCACCAAATAGAACAAGAGCTCTGCCTCTTGTTCTTTTCTCCTTATTATCTCTTAAGTTTTTTATTTGTATAAAATTAAAACCTAGTTGTCTGAAACCGAGAAGGTTCAGACCAGTCTAGTAAGAAAAATACACCAGAAATGAAGAGAAGAAAAGGAAGAGAAGAGAAGAGAAGAGGAAAAAAGAAGAGAAGAGGAAGAGAGAATGTGAAGGTTCAGCTCCCTTAGTTTGTCGCCCCAAATGACATTTAAACTTACGTCTTCAACATTAAGTGGTACAATGACAGGAATGCCCCTGTCACTAGAAACAACAGAAAAAAAAGGTCTAACAGTACTATAGAAAAGAAAGAACATATGAGCAGGTGGTGGGACCACAAGCTGGTCAACCATTTTCTCTACACTCTCCCTCAAGTTGGGAAAATATATTGATCATTCCCAAGTTGCTTAAATCCGCCTCAAGTTTGATTTTGTTGACTGCCTTAGTGAAGACATCGGCAAGCTGCATATTAGTGGCAACATATGGAAGGCACACTTCTTGAGAAGCAACTTTCTCTCGGATGAAATGTCTCTCAACTTCAATGTGTTTGGTTCTATCATGCTGTATTGGGTTGTGAGCAAAGTTGATGGCCGCTTGATTATCACAATACAGCATCAAGTTTCTTTCAAACTCAATTCCCAATTCTGTAAAGAGAAACTTCAGCCATAATATTTCAGCAACATGCCATAGACTTGTATTTAGCTTCAGCACTGGACCGAGCAACAACATTTTGCTTCTTGCTCCTCCATGAAACTAAATTTCCTCCAACAAAGGCACAATACCCAGAAGTAGATCTCCTATCATCAATACAATCTGCATTAGTGTAAACTTCAATCTTTATATGGCCACTATTTTTAAAAAGTATACCTCGGCCTAGACACCTCTTCAAGTAGGCTAAAATTCTCTCAACAGCAAGAAGGTGTAAGTTCTTGGGAGAGTGCATGACTAACAACACTTACATCATACAAAATGTCGAGGCGAATCAGACATAGGTAGAGAAGGCTTTCTACAAGCCGTTGATACATACCTTTATCTTCTAGAGGCTCACCATCCTCTGCATTAATCTTATGATTTTGCTCAATAGGAGTATCAACAGATCAAGAACATACTTCCTCTGGAAAACAAAAATGCCATGCTTGGACCTTGCCACTTCTATCCCAAGGAAATACCTCAACTCACCTAGGTCCTTTACTTCAAATTCTTGATTCAGAAGCTGCTTAAGAGAGTTAATCTCCTCAATATCACTTCTTGTCACCACAATGTCATCCACATACACAGCTAAGAGAATCAAAGTAGATTCTTTCTTCTTAAAGAACAGAGTGTGGTCAGATTTGGATTGAACATAGACAAATCTTTCCAAAGCAAGTCTGATCTATCAAACCATGCTCTTAGAGATTGTTTTAAACCATACAAAGCTTTCATCAACTTGCAAACTTTCTTACCAGTCTCTGCACCATAGAAACTAGGAGATAACTCCATATACACCTCCTCTTGCAAGTCACCATTTAGAATTGCATTCTTAACATCCATCTGAAATAGAGGCCAAGAGAAGTTAGCAGCAAGAGACAATGAAACCATGGTTTCAAATGTCGCCAAATGTCGCCTGACATATGTTGATGTCGAGGTTCACCAACATGAAAATGGATGGTAATATAAAAATTACATTATTTCGGTCGACATTTCCTATATTTCGGAAATGTCGACCAAAGCAGTCCAAATAACCAAAAAAAGGACAGTTTTTCCTATTATGTCGGCAAGATGTCAACTAATGTCGATAGGATTTCAACTAATGTATATTAATAATATAATATATTAGTATATTATATTAATATAACACAATATATTAATATAAATTATTCCATTAATAATTTCTATTTAATATTTCAAATAAAATATTTATAAAAAAGAATTAAAAAAATAAAAAAACAAAAGAATAAATTAATTACTTTATAATATAAAACATAAAATATTTTTCAAGTAATAAAATATTAACTAGTTAGTATTTTTTGAAATATTTATT